ATTTCATTTCTACAACCATAATTGCCAGTGTCATTTTCTACCTGACCTCAACGTCATGGCGCAGCGTTACCTATGTGGACTCGATTTTCATGTGCGTCAGTGCTATGACTGGTGCTGGATTGAATACGGTATGGACTCAACCCCCCATATATCCATCGATGACTATATTGTAGGCTAATAATCGATGATTAGGTGGATTTGTCGGCTCTAAACAGCTTCCAACAAGCACTTTTGTTCACCCTGCTTATTTTGGGCCATGCCGTTCTCATTTCCCTCACTGTACTTCTAGTACGTAAAAGGGCATTCGAGGCAAAGTTCAAGGGTGTCTCCGATGAGCGGGAAAGAGAGCGGTCTACTCGTCACCACTCGGAAGTTGAACTGCAGGCCAGGGACCAGGGGCCTGCGAATGAAAGCACCGGAACTGATCTCCCCGGCGAGAACACCGAAGGACAGGGCCGTAAACCACGCCCAAAGACACCCATGCTGGTCCAAGTGACCCCGGGAGAGTCATCATCTCGCAATGAACAGCCGTGGGTGGAAGACGACCAAATAACCATCGGCGGCACACACCGTCATCATCACCACCGAGTCTTCCCCATGGCTGGCATCGGGGCGAGACCGGATCTGAATAACCACCCCCGCGATGCAGTGCCCAACGTGCCCTTGGTCGCAAAGGATTCGGTGTCTGGCTTCAAGGGAATTCTCCGCGGTACACAGAAGTACATGGCCTCCAAGGGTCTTGTATCCCGCAACTCCCAGTTCCACGATCTCACTCCTGCTGAGCGTGATGAACTTGGTGGTGTGGAGTATAAGGCCGTCTCATTTCTATCTGTGGTTGTGTCCCTTTACTTCATCTTGTTTATTGTGTTCGGCATGATCGGTGTCGGTTGCTGGTTGGAAGCTAATGATCCCGCCGTGACGCGCGCGAACGGTCTCTCGCCGTTCTGGACGGGTGCTTTCTTTGCTGTTTCTGCTTTCGTGAACAGCGGCATGTCGCTCTTGGATACTAACATGACCGCTTTGCAGTTGAGGTAGGTGGTCTAGACCCTTTTTTTTATAGTCAATATAGTCAAGCTTGCTAACTTTCTTTAGGGCATACCCTCTTCTCACAATGGGATTGCTGATTCTCGCTGGAAACACCCTCTTCCCATGTTTCCTGCGGTTCATTATCTGGACTATGAGGGCCATGCTTCCAGATAGACCGAAGTGGCAGTCGTGGCGCATTACCCTTGATTTCATACTGGAGCATCCTCGAAGGGTAAGTCCTGTTGCACTATACTAATTCTTGCCGTTTATAGACACTTATCATAAAGCCAGGTCTATACGAATCTCTTCCCTGCTCGCCATACGTGGTATCTGCTCGGCACGATTATCATTCTGAACGGTATCGACTGGGCGGCATTTGAGCTACTGTCTATTGGAAACGAGGACATCGAGAGTCTTCCTACCGAGTACCGTGTATTGGATGGACTGTTCCAAGCCTTAGGTTTGTCAACCGCAACAGCGTCATATTCGACTCAAGCTAACGGATTATCTCGATTAAAGCGGTACGCGCTGGTGGATTCTACGTTGTGACCATTGCCGATCTTCACCAGGGTCTCTTGGTTCTCTATGGTAAGTGAATTCAATATCCTCGCCGGACTGAAAGATCATCATACTAACAGAAGCTCTAGTACTCATGATGGTAAGACATACTAGTCTCATACCCCATACACCAAACCCCTAACTAACAAGTCACCTAGTACGTCTCCGCGTACCCAGTAACGCTCACAATGCGGTAAGTAACCCATGAAATCAACCTACATCAAGAAACCGCAATCTAATACCCACACAGCAACACGAACGTCTACGAAGAACGCTCGCTAGGAATCTACGCACACGACGAAACCCCCGATTCACCAGCAAACACAAGCCGCAGCAATGTAGCAATGGACCTAATCCGACACCACCTCGGCCGTCCACGCCTGTCGGAGACTTCGCGCGGATACTTCGTCCACCAGCAACTCCGCTCCCAGCTCAGCCATGATCTGTGGTGGATCGCGCTGGCGGTGTTCTTTATCGCCATCGCCGAGTCAGACCACTATGAGTCCCAGCCCGTGGCTTTTTCCACCTTCAATATTATCTTTGAGGTTGTCTCTGCTTACGGATGTGTGGGTGTTAGTCTTGGGTTCCCTGGGAAGAATTACTCGTTCTGTGGCGCGTGGCATACTATTAGCAAGTTGATTCTTGCTGCTGTGGCTTTACGTGGTAGACATCGTGGGTTGCCGGTGGCTATTGATAAGGCTATTATGTTGCCTAGTGAGTCTTTGGCTTGGGCGGAGGAGGAGGATGCTGCTATGCGGAGGGATAGGTCTAGGGTTTGGGCTCAGGAGCGTGGGCCTATTGGGTCTGTTTAGATGTTTAGATGGTGGTTTCGATATACCCCCTTTGCATGCTAGTTTAGTGTTTAGACTGTTTTAGAGAGCGTGGGTCTATGAAACATATGATGATATGAAGCTTTGAAGGTAATAATTCTTTTGTAGGACTAACTACCCAAGGTGTATCCTGGTAAAAAAAAGTAGACATATGCAATAACCGTGTGAATGTAGATGGACATGGACGAGTGACAAGGAGATATACAAAGTAACAAAAAATTATACGACCTACTCATCCTCCATCTCCATCTCATCCTCATCCTCATCTTCACTCTCGATCTCAACTTCCTCCTCGCTCTCCAATTCCTCCTCATCCTCATCCTCGCTACCATCATCACTGCCAGCAACACCACCCATATCCTCGTCCTCTCCACCATTCTTCTTCGCCTCTTGTCTCCGCTTCTCTTCCTCAACGCGACCTTCTTCGAGGACAGCAGCACGCTCCGCACGCAGCTTGCGCTGCGTCTTAACGAACGCACCGACAGGAGTAGTCTCCCAGTCAACATCCTTGAGGAAAGATTCAACGCCAGAGCGATTGCGGGGAGCATACGTGACGTTTAGGCGGCGCTCCTCGATCCAGCGAGCATTGGTCTCAACCTTCTGCACGAGCAGCAAGATCATCTGGTTGATCTTGGCGTTCTTGTTTCCACCGCTGCGGGCAGAGACCTGCTTCAGCCAGCGCTTGAGGGAGACAATGACGGGCACGGACAGTTCCGGGAACGCAATGTGCTTGGACCACAGAACGAAGAACTCGGAGAGGAGCTCGGCGACCTGCTCACCGACGCCGTCCTGGTAAGTGCGCGACCGCAGGTAAGATTTGGGTGCGCGGATCGCTGTGTTGAAGTCCAGGGGCTTAAGTGTGCTGGACTTGGGGTGCTTGCGCATCTCCGCCGAGGTCAGGACCTCAAGAAGTGAAGCTGAGAGCGGGATGTAGGTGCCCGTGGCGCGGGAGATGCGGAGCAGGGAGCGCGTCAATTGGAAGCGCAGAGGGAAGTACGTGGCGGTTGGGATGAGGCGCATGGCGCCCAGGGTGATCTGCACGACGGGGTAGATGAGGGGACGGAGAGCGGACTGCTTGCCGACTTGAGCCTCGACAAGGCCATCGCAGTGCTGCGAAAAGCACTCGGGACCAGAAGTCCAGCGAGTGCACGTATTGCCAGTTGTAAATGGTCTTGTAGGACTCCTTGGAGGTGTTGGTAATGCTCTTGCGCAGGTGCATAGCAAGCTGGCGGATGAAGGAGAATCCTGCTGTGTATGAGACGTTCTGGTCAATACCCCAGATTTCGGCTGCAGAGTTCTTCATCAAGTTCACGCCTGCTAGCGTATGCACTGTTGTGTTGCGGCTACCCTTGACAACACCCTCGTAGGTGGCCTTGAGCACACTCTCTCTGATACCTGCGTCTCCCAGAACCATAAGGCGGCGCAGAATCAAGAAACCTGTGATACGGGTGGCGTCGGCAGTTGACACATCAGCCCAAATCCCGACGACAATCTTGACGAGTGTCTTCAGCACCTTACGGAACTGAAGCAGGTAAGGCAGCATGGGTTCAATTGACGCGAGGGTCAACTTGAGTGTGGATGCATCGGACAAGTTAACCAGAAGCTGGTGAACTGAAGCAGTGTGCGATTTGATCAGAGGTGTGAGGGTCTTGAACTTCTTCGAATCCAATGACACCCTGATCTTGCCAGAAGCGCTCTCCTTAACGGGAAGATGATGGGCCAGGACCTTGGGGATGGTGTTGAGGGCCGTGACAAGAACCTGGTGGTACACGTTCTTGTCGGAGATGGTGTATTTTTGCTCGGGGGCCTCGGGGTCATTGACATAGGCGGCCGCACGGAAAGCGAGAACAGCCTGGCGCATGGCTCGGATCGAGTTTTGCTCCTCCATCAACTTCTGCCACTTCTTGACCATCTCAATAGTCAAGGTCTCATCCTCGGGCTCTTCCTCTTCCTTCTTCGACTTCTTCTTCTTCTTCTTGGCTGGTCCCTCGTCTTCGGGTTCTTCGCTTTCGCTCAGAGCGTCAACCTCTGAAAGATCGCCTTGCTCACCGAACTCGAGCAGTTCAGAATCATTTTCCTTGAGGTATTTGTAGAACTCGGGGTCCTTCTCCTTCAATGACTCCAGCTGGTCCTTGTGCTCGTCGTAAACATCGACGCTGTCCGCGTCATCACTGTCACCCTCGCCTTCAGAAGCCTCAGCATCTGCCTGTGCCTTATCTTCTGAGCGCTTGCGCTTGCCGATTTTGGGGGTGGTATCCTTCTTGCTGGCCTTCTTTTCCTTCTCTTCGGGAATATCGAAGCCGCCAGCGAAAAAGCCGTCGACGTTCATTTCGGAAAAGGCATTTTGTTTCTTCAGGTCCTCCGGGTCCTTCTCTGCGGCGGCTTCGGCTTCGGCGCGGCGAGCAGCATTTTTTTCCTTGCGCTTGTCGTTCAATTGGTGTCTCTGCTTGATCTTGGCATTGGCTTTGCGTCGCTCAAGAACATCCGGCAGACGGTTCTGCACAAACTTCTTGGTCGATTTTTTGGCTCCAACCATTTTGAGATATTGATGCAGAAAAGAGTCTGCAAGTGTAGCTTGGTCGGAAAATGGCTGGTCAAAAAAAAAATTGGGGAGAAAATCGGCGGGTCCGCTGTTCAGACCGCCTTCCGCCTTTGGCACCGGGCGATAACGCCCAGACAATCGGCAAGACAACAACCTTCGAATTTACCATTGACGACTGGCGACTAACGATTATTGTACATAGCGAGAACTTGCCAAAAAATGTACTCACAGCGCCCACTTTCTTATGCGCCAACCCCCTACAGTTACACACCCAATCCCGCCCGGTCAGCCACAATCAATCTCGATGAAGTATGGGTCCTTGTCTCCGCATTGATAGTCATATTGACTAATGCCACATATCTTAGGAAGTCAAACTAGCATCCAGCTCAGTCGAACGTGACTTATATGAATCCCTAGCCGAAATCTACAGCATCATCGTCACCCTTGATGGACTCGAGAAAGCATACATCAAGGACGTGGTCACCGAGGCAGAGTATACCGAGACATGTACACGGCTTTTGAAGCAATACAAGTCCAGTCTTGGAGATGAGACAGTATCGCGGGAGTTCGTGGATCTGGAAACCTTCAAACGGACGTGGGGGGTGAGTGTTCCTCTCCATTTTACCCCGCAAACCTCAACGCATCTCTGACGCCAGGTGTATAATATAGCTAGAATGCCCACGAGCCACGGAGCGATTGCGTATTGGTCTTCCAGCCACAGTCGAGCAAGCTTCTCACGGCGGAGCAAGCTCTAGTATGGGTGCAACGGCGACGGGTCCCGCTGGCGGTGCCTCGGGTAGTCTCATCCTGGCAGCAACCGAAAACTTCATTACCTTCCTCGATGCATTGAAACTCAACATGGTATCCAAGGATGCACTGCATCCACTTTTATCGGAGGTGATTCAGTCTGTGAACAAGGTAACAGATACTGATTTCGAAGACCGCGGCAAGATCATTCAATGGTTAATCGCATTGAATCAAATGCGAGCTACTGAGGAATTGAGCGAGGACCAAGCGCGTGAACTTGCATTTGATATTGAACAGGCTTATCAGGGCTTCAAGGCCACGTTGAACTGATTTGGATAATCATTTACTTGGTGCACCGGCAAGGCGTTCATACGGACAGTAGAGATACCATTATGCTTTTATGTATTGACATGATCATCAGTGATTGCTAGCTAAATATACCCGCTCTGGCTTGTTTTGGATTGAGTGTTCTTGTATAAGTACGACTATCCATGGACATCGACTATGTCTCGAGCTACATCCAGCTTAACGGTATATATACGCTGTTGACCCTGCTCTTTTTCATTTCTCATCCAATCATCTGTTTGTTTCTCACTTGCAGCAGTCTTCAATTTCACCATTCCTGCTCTTTGATGGTTTGATGCCTGATAATCTAGGCGACAATCAATCCGCGGAACGGCAGCGCCAGCCTTTCCTCTTCGGGAATATTTTCTTTTTCTCCGCCACATTTTCGTTCGATTCTCGTGGCTGCGAGGCCAATTTGTTGCCTTGCATTCTTTACCAGCAACAACTAGAGAGCATACAGTTATCGCCATGATTAGTGCTACAGATGAGCCTCTACATGGTTAGTTCATCATCTACCCCTCTGGTCCATCCGGTCCACAAAAGATAATGGGACTGATAAGCGCAGTTCTTGACCTCCCGCAGCTCTATCAGAAGCCCTCGGGAACCGATCTCGTGAAAGCGTTGGCTTTGTTGAGCTTACAGCCCCGCACATTTGGCACCACCGCCGATGTCGTCAAAGGCCCCGCGGTTCAGCCTGCAGGAGTGACTCGGTATCTCACATCCATCATCGCAAGTCAACTGGCATGGCTCGAGACCGATGAACTCCGGGAGGCGATCTGGGACGCGGCCGCTGCACGACTAAGTGAACGGTCTGGTCGGACAGGTAAGCAGGCCACCATATGTCCAGCTGTGTTCTGTTATCCCGCTGACCGTGACTCATTCTCTACCAGCTATGCCGGCAATGTCTCGAATCTTCAACGTGCCCACCTCCTCTGGCGAAGAATATACACTAACCCTCCACGAACCGTCCATAACGGCGGACAACCTCGGTATGAAGACTTGGGTATCTTCATATCTTCTCTCGCGCCGGCTTCACAACATCGGATCGCCACCAGCACTTGTTCCCTCGGCGTCGACTACTCCCTCCACCTTGAGCCAGAAACCTCTGCGGGCACTCGAACTTGGTGCTGGAACAGGCTTGGTCGGGCTTTCCTTTGCGGCTCTGCAAGGTGACTCTGCCACCGTTCACCTCACCGACTTGCCTGAGATCGTACCGAATCTCGCCCACAACGTTGCCTTGAACGTAGAGCTCCTGAACAGAACCGGAGCGAGTGTGACCACGGGTTTGCTTGATTGGTCAGTCACGCCGTCCCCCCTCCCAACTGCGGAAGAGCAGTTTGATGTGATTCTCGCCGCGGATCCATTGTACTCGCCCAATCATCCCAAATGGTTGGTGGATACCATTAAACCCTGGCTTAGCCGCGGGCTCGATGCTCGAGTCGTGGTGGAGATGCCGCTACGAGATGCATATCTGCCGCAGGTGAAGGAGTTCCGGCAGCGGATGGGCGAGTTGGGTCTGGCTGTGGTTGAGGAGGGCGAGGAGGTCGGTTACGATGACTGGGAGAGTGCAGATGGAGGCGCACTGGCCGTCAACTGTTGGTGGTCGATTTGGGGATGGACTGAAAAGGTATAATGGCAGTACTGTCGGGTCATATTGGGAACGGTGACCAAACGAAATGACGAATAATAAACGATACACGATAGATTAGAATAGTGATCTCCTAGACGTTGGTTATTGAGCAATGCATGCATCCTGCATCTGATTCAGAGAGTCATCAGTAGATATGCAACCGCCTGGCAGATTCAAATCTTGAAGATGAATTTCCCGCATGATTTTCTTCGGTAGAAATCAACTTGATGAATGAGGAACATCGTTGGTCGACAGAAAAGAGGAGCAGGTCCATCACGTGGCGATGACGTCGGTGTCACCATTTCGGTGGATCATGGAATTTCTACCTTTCGTGTCTTTTCCAAGGATTGCTGAATCCTAACAAGAAGAATGACTTGTGTCTATATCGATTTACAGGCAACAGATATTCTCTGCCTCCATGTGGTCAGTCAACAACCTGGCGTTGTTCAAGTATCAAGCATATCATCCTAATGCTATAACAGACCTGAGTCCAGACCAAAACGCCGCATGAATACGGCTACAAATTCTTGGAATCCGATATATCAAGGTGCTAAGCATAGCCGATCAAATTCTAGGACATAAATTGCGATATAATTGCATATTCTACCACCTATATACCAACTGCGATCCATTCCCTCGCCCTTGACCGCTCGAGTCGTGCATTACAGAAAACATCGCATACCTAATATCCCATACCGCACCAAACACCTGAACAATGATCGGGCTCTTAGCCATTACCTCCATCCCAACGGTGACGGGTGTATCCCTCGCTACTAGCGAGCAGCGCAAAGCAAACCAGCGCAAAGAAGAGGCCCGTCGCATGGTGAAGTTTAACATCGTAGCCGAATGTGATGGGGACACAGACGATGACCGCGAGTTAAACGGGATGACAGTTGTTGTAAGAAATGAGAAGGTAAGGAAACCAAATGCCAACAACATTAAGGGCCAAGAGATGCCCCAGGCCCATCCAAACATCATCATCAGAGCCCAAAACTATATGTAGACTAACACTACCACTCACGCAGGTCTATCTCGCAAACCCAGATCCCTCCAAACGATCCCCACCAGCTTTTACAGCCCTGGCCTTCTATATCGAGTACCCTGAACCTGAAGAATTGAAATATCTCAAGCGCGAACGCGGCCTCGGCCTCCCAACTTACGTTCAGGACGACCCGCCCCTTCTCAATTGGATCTACGCAGATACCGAAACGCATGAGTTGCGGTACGGGAATCGGTCGCAGAGTGTGGAGCAGATGGTCGAGCCGTGGGACTGGTGTAAAGATGAAAGGATCATTTCGCTCAAAGGGAAGCAGAATGCTTTCATTGCGGTTGAAGAGGAGGAGGGTGAATGGGCGCTTTATTATGATCTTGATGGCGATGAACTTGCCCGCGTTCTTGAGGAGCAGGGAATGTTGGATTGTCCTTTTGTGCCTGTCAAGCTGGTGAGGAAGGTTGTTGAGGAGCCGCCGCCGCCGCCGCCGCCTCCTGCTGCTCAGGCTGCAGCTCAACAAGGTCAAGGGAATGGTCAGAGTCAGAAGTAGATGTATGAGAGAGCGGGGGTAAATATCGTGATTGAGACGAAGGACTTGTGTGTATATACTTCATGAAATGACTTAATGTGTTTATGATATGATCATGATTATGGGAATACCGCGGTAGCAATGGAATAGTGTATTGTACAGAAAACTTGAGCCTTTAATCATCCAATCCATTCCAGCTACCAGTGTCGCTGACATTGCCGCTAGCCGCTGCGGCAGCCTTCCTGTTGCGGCTGGCCGCAATAGCACCCTTTTTCTTGTTCTCCAAGCGGCGCTCAAAGCCACTCTTAGTACTGATTCTCATACCACGAGCGCCCTTTCCATCATCTTCCTTATCGGCCAATCTTGGGGTCTGGCGCGCCTTGACACCATGCCTCTTCATATCCTTCTTGCTGTTCTTGCTCAAATTTGGCAAAGCGTCGAGCAGCCATTTCTGGATGGACTTGTCGCCTTCTTCACCACCGCGTAGCTTCTCACTGACATCAATGATGTTGGCAATGCTCTTCACGTAAGGAATGTCTTCCTTAGTGTAGTAAGTGACGGCGATACCGCCCTCGCGACCGGCACGACCGGTTCGCCCCACGCGGTGGACGTAGACGGCCGCCGAGTTGGGGATATCGTAGTTGACGACGCCGTTGATACCGCGGAAATCGACGCCGCGGGCTAGCAGATCCGTTGTAACCAAAATCCAAATCTCGCCTTTGCGGAAATCGCGCATGATATCGGACCGTTGGCCATCTGAGAGATCGGAGTGGAGAACCGCAATACGTGAGGATCCACCTGCTTCGGCGGGGATATCATATTTGAGTTCTGAGTGTAGGGCCACCGCACGAGGGATAGTCTGTGTGAAAATGAGGAAGGGAGGGCGAAGGCGGATATCTGATGCTGATGCTGCAGCTGGGCGAAGAAGTTGGCGTAGTCCCATCAGTTTACCCTGCTCTGTTGCTGCGTAGACGAGTTTGTGGTCAATGTTGGGGATTGCAGAGTCTTTCAACCCTACAACCAGACGAAGTAGCGCATGTGGCTCGCTTGGCTTTTGTCCGAGGTCTTCCAGCCGCTCTTTGATGGTCGACTTGGTGAGGTCCTCGATATTGGATCCCATGGTGGCTGACCAAAGGCCGACGCGCAAATCGGGGTGTGAGCATGCTTTCCAGATATCGAGTGTCTGTTCCCGGAACAATGGGTCCAGGAGGACATCGGCTTCGTCCATAACCAAGCTCCGCACCAGAGGTAATGTTGCCATGGTAGTCGTCCGGTTCGCAGATAGAGCATTAACCAGCATTAGAGGCGTAGTGACGAGAATATCGCTCTTGGTGACCGGGATGTTGGCTCGCTCCTTTGCTGGCTTGTTTTCGGCATCTTCATCTTCTGACCCGGACGATTCTTCGCTGTTCTCATCAAGAACATCGGCGCCACTATCATCTCCAACACGCATGCCCTTTCTCATAAGCGTGATCTTCACGCCTGTTCCAGCCACTAGCTTGCGGCCCTCATTGACGATCTGGCTTGCGAGCTCCCTGGTGGGCGCCACAACCAGAGACAAAATACCATGCTCGTCAGGATGTGAGTGGTGGTGTCGAACAATTTTGTTGATCACGGGAATCAGGAATGACAATGTCTTGCCGCTGCCGGTGGGAGCAACGACCAGAAGATCTGGTTCAGAAGATTTTCCAAGAAGCAATGGAAGGGTTCCAAGCTGGACCTCTGTCGGTACGGTAAATCCTTGCTCCGCAACATTCTCTGCGAGCCGCGAGGAGATCTTATATTTAGACCGAAGCTCCTTGAAGTTAAGCAGGGGCTCCGGGAACAAGCGTCTGGCGCGCTTCTGCTCCTTCTTACTGAGAGTCGGCGCCTCTTCTTTCTTTGACTTCTTCTTTTTCTTCTTGGAATCTTTGGTAGATGTGGGTTCAGCTTGGATCTCTTCCAAGTCGCGCATGTCTGTAACCTTGATCTTGTGTGAATTCAAGATAGTGCGACGTTCCACTTCATCCATAGAATCTTCGTCATCGGATGCGGCATCCTGAGCAGACACTTTTTTATCGTCGCCCACGGTCGCAGCAGCGGTTTCCGTTACACTGGCTGCAGGGCGCTTATTTGAACTGAAAAAGTCGAGATCAGGGACATCTTCCTCATCCTCTTGGACAGCAGCGCCTCTCTTTCTTTTTTTGCCATTCTTGGCAGACTCGAGGTTGTCGCTCTCCGCGGTCCGGAAGAGCTGCGGGTTGGCTGCTTTCCCAGTGGATGGCAGACGCGAGTCTGTAGCCGACGATACAGGCTTTAATTTTGTTGATCTGGTCAACAATCTGAACGCATCCATATCTTTGGTGGTTGAGTCGAAAATGTCGTTGATATTCTGAAAAGAAAAAAAAGTGGTCCGCCGACTTTCCTCCCGGGCCAATCAGCGTTGTTCGTATATCACCGCAGAGGCCGGGGACAACATAACGAGAATAACAATGTTCGCAGATAGAATTACTTTGGATCTAATAGGTATAGAATATTAGGATTGCTATTCACACCCATGGGATCTAGATCATGGTTACAGAGAGGTTTAGGGGAGAATAAGGAGAAAACAAGTCGAGGTCAATGGACCTTCAGATTGCAACTGAGCGTATAAACAGTAGACTTTACACTTTCATAGAGCACAAAGGCACAAACAGTACAGGGAATGAATTGCAGTAACAAGGTCTATCTCAGACAACAGTTTAATTTCCATCGTCTATCATACACAGCGCGGGGAAGATTAACATAGGAAAAAAAAGGAAAGGACGATTCTCTTCTATCCACATCCACTTAGTGCGCGTGCGCAGGCTCGCCACGGTAACCAACAATGTTCATACGGCCGATCATCTCACCAACGGTGAAGAAGCCAATGACCTCGGCGGCAGTGACACCCGCGAGGGCCATCTGCTTGGGGCTGGCGTTGCGGATAGAGGCGAGGATAGACGAGGGGGAGGGGAGGGTCTTGAGGGCGGCAGGGTTGGAGATGAAGGGCTGGAAGTAGGACTGGAAGGTGGCCAGGTTGCTAGGAGGAATTGTTAGATTGCGAGTAAAGGGTCGAGTACGGAGTCTGACTTACGGAGGAGCCATGTTCTGGCCACGGAACACTAGCTTGCCGAGCTCAATTCCGACCTTGGAGTAGTAGACGGTAGGAGGGATCATGGCTAGAGTGGTTGGTGGTTAGCTATGCACATTTGGAAATGTAAACTGCGGATTTAAGTCAACAAGGAGGTTGGGATTGGGTGGCACGATTCCAACCAGATCAGTCGGCCAATCGGTGGCTTTCTCCTTAGATGAGTACCCAATGTCCAACGCTCCATTGTAACCATCCAAATGGGAGAAAAATCAAGAGTGTCCCTTACAATCGACGAAAGAGATGACCTTGCCGGCGGGTCCACCGATCTTGCGCAGGGCACCAGCGGCGTTCGAGATGGCAGGGCCAGCGGAGGCAGAGACCTTAGACAGACCCTCAGAGGCCTTGGAAGCAGTTGAGGAAGCAGTCTCACCAGCCTTGGAGGCAGCCTCCGAGGTGGACGAGGCGTGTCTGACGACGGTTCTCCGGGTCAGGAACTGCGATTGCCGCAGGACGGCACGGGTGGCGGCGGGCATTTTGGATACTGCGGGGGAAATGAGTGGAAAAGAAGAATTAAACAAAAGACACCCGAAGCAGTCGCTAATAGGAGGGCAGTATGATCTAATGATCTGGAGTATCGCGCAACGGCAGAACCAGATGAAGATTTGACGCTCGGGAACTTCAGGAATTGCAGGTCACGTGAGTCGCATTTGAGCCCAAGTAAACAATACGCTTTTCTGAATTATAGATATGAACGCAGTTTAGTAATTTATTAATTTATGAGTTTACTGTCTATATGTTAAAGTCCGTCTTGCTTGGAGTGAGTCTGAAAGTGGATAGGAAGCTTAGCACCTTGTTATAGCATTGTGCCTGCATCCGGCCCTATGAGTCGAATCACAAGCGTGGAACTATATTCCGGACGATAGAAATAAGATGGTACTTTTTCTGTCATTGCAAATAGACAGGAATACTTTTTAATTGGAATGTTTTGCAAAATGGGTGGGGGAAAAAGTAGTGTATTGAAGCTGCTGTCAACCAAAATATATAGTGCAATACTTTACTAGGCTGCACTGTTTGTTTCCCTTGATCACCAAGATTGAATGGAAAAGTCTAAACTATGATCTAGATCATATATCAAGAACAAAGATAAATGATATGCCAAGAAACAAAGAGAGACTATGGATGGATTTACTATAAGAAAGCGGCTAGCTCTATAAGCCAAAGAGGATCGCCCGAACAAACATAGAAGCTACCTAGGGAAATTATCTATATAGAGACCAATCATTTTTAGGTAATTAGATACGTATGCATGATGCTACAGTAAATACTGTCCAACTAGATATCTACATATACCATCCTTCATATGAATTTATGATCACATTCCAATTGCGACACTACGAAACAACAGTAGCAGCCAGTCCGATGAACAATAGTACAAGTTCAACCTCAGCTTAATCTTTGTCTGACACGATATTACCTGTATGTACGCAGTAAGTAGTCAGATGACAATAACAGTTACACATCTTCTCGGCCTACCTATGAAATATCTGAGAGATTGGTTGCTGGATCCCACCATGATAGGTTTGTAACAGGAAACATGTAGGGTATCCATGCATGGTAAGACAAATTGTATCTGGGTATGTATGTTGTATATGTAGATATATAGTAGAGAGATATCCCTCCATGGATGCTCAGGTGTAAAGTGAATAAACATAGATGCCTGAGGCAACAAAAAGTTTGCACTGTTTATCTCGGAGAAAGGCATTTCCTCCACTTGAATTTCTTCTCCGCCGGAGAATTGCCTCTCTTGTTGATATAATGGATTCTTACTTGCCCGGGTGGTACATTATACCACATTTTCCTGAGCCAGAAACACTTCAGATTGTTCAGTTATGAACCGAACCAAGATAACTCGAGGAATTAGCCCTGGAGAAAATGGAAAAATAAAAGTCTTCGACACAAATATTAACCGATAGCCGATCCAGACTCGGCCCGAGACTGAGAGCGGGTAAGGATTTCCTAATTGAGACGGAGAAAGCAGTTTAACCCCCCCGGTTAAATCGAAAGCCCCTCCACTCCACTTTTTTTGTTACTCCATATGTATCACCGTGGGGTTGAACAGTATGAGATCACCGGACACTGATTTTGCGGGCTTGAGTATTAAAGCGGCTGTTTCCTCGCATTTAGGCGTTTACTCACAATTTTCTTCTCCCCCTCCTACCTACACACTATACAATGGCTTCCGCAACCGTCACCAAGACCAACATCGGTGTCTACACCAACCCTAAACATGACCTTTGGATCGCCGATTCCAACCCGACGGCAGAGGACATCAACGCTGGCAAGGGCCTGAAGCCTGGCGAGGTCACAATTGAGGTGCGCAGCACTGGTATTTGCGGATCCGATGTGCACTTCTGGCATGCCGGCTGCATTGGTCCCATGATCGTCACGGGCGACCATGTCCTCGGCCACGAATCAGCCGGTCAGGTCCTCGCTGTTGCCCCTGATGTCACCCACCTCAAGGTCGGCGACCGTGTTGCCGTCGAGCCCAACGTTATTTGCAACGCCTGCGAGCCCTGTTTGACCGGTCGCTACAACGGTTGCGTGAATGTCGCCTTCCTCTCCACACCGCCTGTCGACGGCCTGCTCCGGCGGTACGTCAACCACCCCGCCGTCTGGTGCCACAAGATCGGCGATATGAGCTATGAGGCCGGTGCTATGTTGGAGCCCCTCAGTGTGACCTTGGCTGCTATCGAGCGCAGCGGTCTACGTCTCGGTGACCCGCTGCTTATCACCGGTGCCGGTCCTATCGGTCTGATCAGTTTGCTTAGCGCACGCGCTGCTGGTGCCTGTCCTATTGTCATCACTGATATTGACGATGGCCGCTTGGCCTTCGCTAAGTCCCTGGTCCCTGAAGTGCGCACCTATAAGGTTGAGATTGGCAAGTCGGCCGAAGAGTGTGCCGACGGTATCATTAATGCCCTGAATGACGGTCAGGGTTCTGGCCCTGACGCCCTGCGCCCTAAGCTGGCCCTGGAGTGCACCGGTGTCGAGAGCAGTGTCAACTCCGCCATCTGGAGTGTCAAGTTCGGTGGTAAGGTGTTTGTCATCGGTGTTGGCAAGAATGAGATGACCATTCCCTTCATGCGTCTCAGCACCCAGGAGATCGACCTGCAGTACCAGTACCGCTACTGCAACACCTGGCCTCGGGCTATTCGCCTGATTCAGAACGGTGTTATCGACTTGAGTAAGTTGGTTACTCACCGTTACTCTCTTGAAAACGCTCTCCAGGCCTTTGAGACTGCCTCCAACCCTAAGACTGGTGCCATCAAGGTGCAGATTATGAGCTCAGAGGAGGATGTTAAGGCCGCCACTGCTGGCCAGAAGTATTGAGCGAAGAGAGTGAAAAAGATGAGCCGTATTTGAGAACATCAGCGGGTTTCTGGTTGGGATCAAGAGCGGCCGTTGCCGTTGGCGTTGACGATTTTCTTTTTATATTTATGAATGATGTTTAGAGGATGCCCTTGGGTGGAATAGAGAGCCCATGAAATGGTTATTTTAACACAATTCTTGGTTGAATGTAGAAGGTGGAAACAGGCAAATGGAGAGGCACAAATTGCTAAGGTAACAGACGACAGGGGACCTTGCAAGTCAAAACGCTCTCACGTCATTCTCGGGCTTAATTCGGGCTAAGCCTGGGGAAAACCTGAAAAACATCGCAATAATAGAATGGAGTAAAATTTGGAGCTTGCAGCATAAATCTGGAGCTAATGGAGCGACTCTACCTGATGTAGGCCCAAATCCGGAATGGCGGATCACAGCCAAGAGCATCCAATAATTGTCCGTTTCTCGCAAGGATTTGGTGATGTGACAGATCAATTGTCAATGTAATGTTATGCAAAGCCAGTAATCATGTGGCCAAATACATCTCTTTCTAGCATCTCGTTCATCCATGTTGTATCACCCAACACTCCCTTCTCAATTTAGATCTGGACCAGTGCATCCCTTAAAGGGTGCACCGGCCCTCTTGTCAATCTACGATCTTCAGTGTATCCTGTTGTGTGTATGCTGTGTTTGTACTCTGCTTCAATGCTCGCCCGATTTTAAACATGAAAGGCACTTTGTTTCTCCTGGCTCCCCTCGTGGGTTCCGTCCTGGGATCGAAATCCCAGCTTGACAGTTGTCCTGGTTATAAAGCTTCCAATGTGAAGCAGTTGGGCCAGAGATTGACTGCTGACCTCGATCTTGCTGGAGATGCCTGTAATGTCTATGGCACGGATCTTCCAAACTTGAAGCTCCTTGTCGAGGCACAAACTGGTATACTACGATATCCCTATACTCAAGTATGAATGTATGCTTATCGTTCTACTAGAAACCCGTCTCCATGTCATAATCTACGATGCCGATGAGGAGGTCTATCAAGTACCAGACTCTGTTCTCCCCAGACCCCAGAGTGAAAAAGGCCATCAAAAGGAGTCCGCCCTTCGCTTTGACTTCGAAAAGAATCCTTTCTCATTCCGAGTCTTACGCGAGGAGGAAGTGCTCTTCGATACTTCTGGCACCAACATCATCTTCCAGTCTCAGTACTTGAATTTGCGCACCTGGCTTCCGGATGACCCGAACCTGTATGGTCTAGGAGAACACACTGATTCGCTGCGGCTTCCTACTATTAACTACACTCGCACTATCTGGAATCGTGACGCATATAGCATCCCCTCCGACTCGAACCTTTACGGTACTCATCCTATTTACGTTGACCACCGTGGAGAGAAAGGCACTCATGGAGTCTTCTTTTTTGAACTCGAACGGCATGGACATCAAGATTGATAAGACAGCTGATGGCAAACAATACCTCGAGTATAACACGCTCGGTGGAGTCCTAGACTTCTACTTCATGGCCGGTCCGACCCCCAAGGAAGTGAGCGAGCAGTACTCTGAGATCGTTGGTCTCCCTGCTATGCAAAGCTACTGGACTTTTGGAGTATGTTATTTCCCAATGGATTCTTGAAGCTGTGTTCTAATTAATGTTCCTTTAGTACCACAACTGCCGATATGGCTACCAGGATGTTTTTGATGTCGCAGAGGTAGTTTACAACTACAGCCGTGCTGGAATCCCACTCGAGACTATGTGGACCGACATTGACTATATGGATGTTCGACGGGTATTCACTCTAGACGAAGAGCGGTTCCCTATCGACAAAATGCGCGAGTTGGTTTCGTATCTCCACAAGCATGATCAGCATTATATAGTCATGGTCGACCCGGCCGTCAGTAACTCTGGTAAGTGTTGCAATCACTTGCCCCTAATTCCACTCTAACGGGGAATGTGCTATCAGATAATGGTGCTTTCAAAAGAGGCCACGACCAGGGAATTTTCCTGCACCGTGACAATGAACAGAACGAACTTTACCAAGGTAAGAATACCAACAGAAGTACAATGCCCACCATTCCTAACAGAATATCCCCAGGCGCCGTCTGGCCCGGCCTAACCGTCTATCCAGACTGGTTCAACAAAGACACACAGAGATACTGGAACTCAGAATTCAAGCGATTCTTCAGCCCAAGCGACGGCGTCGACATCGACGGTCTATGGATTGACATGAACGAAGCTTCCAACTTCTGCCCATACCCTTGCAAGAACCCAGCAGAGTACGCCGAGCAGAACGACCTACCCCCAGCGCCTCCACCGGTCCGGTCGCCTCCACGCCATCTCCCCGGTTTCCCGGCTGATTTCCAGCCCGGATCTTCTTCACCTGGGTCTTCTTCGTCTCGTCGGGTAAAGAGAGGTGATGCTGTCATTGAGTTACGTAGTGTAGGCGAGAAACGCAGCCGCGTGAAGGCAAAGAAGGTCGGACTGCCCGGTCGAGACCTTATTAACCCGCCTTATCAGATCGCAAACGCGGCTGGTTCGATTAGCAATAAGACTATTGATACTGATATCATCCATGCCGGCGAGGGTTACGCCGAGTATGACACGCACAATCTCTACGGAAGCAGTAAGTTCCTCGACTTTCATTATCGGAACCTTTCTAACGTCAACCCTAGTGATGAGCTCGGCTTCCCGCGAGGCAATGTTGAAGCGTCGACCCAACGTGCGCCCCTTGGTTATCACGCGTAGCACCTTCGCCGGAGCAGGCTCACAGGTCGGCCACTGGTAAGATTACTCAAACCTTCCAAACCAGCCTGCCAGATACATACTAACCCGTTCCCCAACAGGCTCGGCGACAATTTGAGCCAATGGGATAAATACCGCGTGTCAATTCCACAAATGCTAGCCTTCGCTTCGATTTTTCAGGTCCCAATGGTTGGCAGCGACGTCTGTGGCTTCGCCGGAAATACGACGGAAGAACTGTGCGCGCGCTGGGCAATGCTCGGCGGGTTCTATCCGTTCTATCGGAATCACAACGAGTTCGGTACCATACCGCAGGAATTCTACCGCTGGCCTACTGTTACAGAGGCTGCGAAGAAGATCATTGATATCCGATACCGTCTGCTCGATTACCTCTATACTTCCTTCTATCGTCAGACCTTGACGGGGAGTCCGTTCCTCCAGCCGCTTTTCTATGTCTACCCCGAGGATAGTAATACCTTTGGTAATGAGCTGCAGTTCTTCTACGGTGATTCCATTCTCGTCTCGCCTGTCTCGGAAGAGGGCGCTACCTCTGTTGATGCTTATTTCCCTGAGGATCTCTTCTATGATTGGTTTACTGGTGTCGCTGTGCAGGGCGAGGGATCGGTGAAGACGATCACTGATCTCGCTATTACTGATATCCCGATTCATATCCGTGGTGGGAGTATCATCCCCCTCCGTACGGCGAGTGCTAAGACCACGACGGATCTGCGCAAGCGCGGCTTTGAGATTCTCATTGCGCCGAACGCTGATGGGTCCGCGGAGGGTGAGCTGTATATTGATGATGGCGAGTCAATTCAGCCGGATACCGCGACAGATGTTCAGTTCAAGTACCGGGATGGCAAGCTTAGGATCCTGGGTCGGTTTGGGTATCGTCCTAATGTGGTTGTTGAGGCTGTTACGCTGCTTGGGCAGAAGAATAAGCGTCGGGATATTGGGTATGATGTTCAGAGGCAGAGTGTTACGAAGAAGGTCCAGATTGAGTTGACTGGGCCTGCCGAGGTGACACTGTGAGGTTCTCACACTATACTCCGTACACTGTTGTTAGGGTTATACGGTTGATGAGGTTGGCTTAGATTGCGGGATCCGCGGATGCCGGTTATTTTTCCGGGGAACACCCCGTGGACACATTCTTTAGGACTCCGAACGCCACGTTTTTCTTTGTTTGACTCAATTTGGCCTGCAATTTTAAATTAAAATTAGAGGTCTTGGATATCCATGTAAGCGAGTATTTTTACTGTAGAATAATGACTCGAAACGGTTATTGGATTAACGTTCCTGCATCTCAGCCCCATCCCATCCATAGCCAGGCGAGTTAGCAATCACGTGGATCCATATCCATAAACGTACTCCGTAAGGCTGTGTCAGTGTAGAATCAATTATAATTGATTCAGGTGTTTGGAAGGAAACCTCAGTAACAATAACACCCCTTGCATGACCTTGCATGAGAGGGGTGGTTAGGAGGGGAAAGAAAGACAGTGGCTTGAGACATAGTGAAAATTTCGAGTCTTTCGAGTCTTGAACAAGAATAGTTTCAAAAGGTACGGAGAAATACTATTCTACACCAAATCAGGTACAAGACTATTCTAAGGGCAAAGGTCTCACTCAGCCCCGAGTGAGGTGGTATCGGCGCTAGTTCAGGCACAGGCCGCTAGTTCCTGAGTCATTTGATAGGTAAACCCGTGGGTCTGACTTGTAGAAATTTAATCCGTACTTATGAGTTATTATTAGTATCGAGATTGGGTAATTTTATGCGAGTACTGAGTATGGAGTACTAAGTAGAACATTATATTGTAGTTATTGTAAGGAGTAGTGGAAAGGTGGAAAGAGAAAAGGTGTATACAAAGCACTCATACTGTAGACTACGAAGGTTCAATGCCGTGTTACGTGTTTCATAGTTGCATGGATATGATATTGATGATAGGCATTAATTTGATCCAGGGTGATCTACCGTAAATACAATGAAGCCATATGATTTGAGGTAGCATGTAATAAAATTTCATTCGAATTGTAATATAAAAATCAGACCTCGGATGGAAGGAAAAGAAAAAGAACAAGGCAACAATAACCTTGGCGGTCGCTTAGGTTCCGTTCCCAGCCTATTTTCCAGATGTCAGACATACAGAAACAGTTAGATTTCTTATTTTATTCTTATTTTATTCTTTCTATTGAATTTTCTTTTATGGGCCCTTACTGTAATGACAGTATGTGCCTACAATGTGATCATAATTACCAAGTACTTAACATATGATCCGATCGGCTGATCAACTACTACTCTCCATGGATGTTAAATACTTGAGTCACCATATACAATATAATATTTTAGACATATACTCCGTACATGTAGGCCACATGTACAATATACCCGTGGACCTATGACTTTCATTAAACAATACATTTCCAGCCTCATCTCAATAATCTCTCAACTCCACTTTCCCCTCATGGGAAGATCAAAAGCTCCACTTGACTGGACCTTTTGTCTCAGCGGCCTTGTCACCCGAGATCCAATCATCATCTCTCATCATCACTTCCAAAGTCACTCCCGCCTCCCTTTTTTTAGTATATTGTATGTAATGTATATTTCTTGTATCTTGTATCTTGTATGTTGTATACTCTGTACTAATATGGAGTATTGTGGAGTAGATAAAGTGGTGCCTCCCAGTTGTTCCTTCCCATTTTCATCCACTCTCGTTTCCGCTTTCGTCGCTAGTTGTGATAATATATTTAATAGGGTCCCCTTCCCTTTCTTTTTCTCTTGTTTACATATTCACCTCTCTTGACGCGTATCATATCATACACAATGCCGTCTTTCATGAAGTTCGCTGCTGCGGCTCTCGCAGTGGCCGCCCCTCTGGCTTCCGCTCAGACTTACTCTGACTGCAACCCGATGGAGAAATCGTGCCCTCCGAAACAAGGGTCTGACTGAGTCCGACATTCACTTTGACTTCACCAAGGCCAGTGCCCTCGACCAGTGGAAGATCAGCGGCGGCAAAGTCCCCACTGGCTCCAATGGTGCCGAGTTCACTATCAACAAGGAAGGAGATGCTCCTACCCTGGTCAGCGACTTCTACTTCTTCTACGGCGAATTGTCTATTGAGATGAAGACCTCTCATGGCCAAGGCATTGTCAGCTCCGCCTTCTTGCAGTCCGATGACAAGGATGAGCTTGACTGGGTACGTGATGTCCCAAAACTCGGGCTATTAGTCCCAAGTCTCCCATGGTAGAACAATGACTAACTGAAATACAGGAAGCACTGGGCACAAAGGGTGACACCATTATGACCAACTACTTCGGAAAGGGCGATACCTCGACCTACGACCGTGAGACTTGGGTCCCCGTCTCCGCTCCTACGGAGTCTTTCCACACCTACACCATCCAATGGACCAAGGAATCTACCAACTGGTTGATTGATGGCAAGAACGTCCGCACTGTCAACTACAATGATGCTCAGGGTGGTGCTCGTTACCCTCAGACCCCGATGAACATCCGCGTTGGTATCTGGGCCGGTGGTGCTCCCACCAACGCCCAGGGTACCATTGACTGGGCTGGCGGTCCGACCGACTACTCCAAGGGTCCTTACTCCATGTACATCAAGAGCATCACTGTCAAGAACGCCAACCCCGCCGAGTCCTACACTTGGTCTGACAAGTCTGGCTCCTCCGACAGCATCAAGTTCACCGGTTCCAACGCCGTGAGCTCGCGCAGCACCACCAGCGAAGCTGCCACCAGCTCCTCCTCTGAGGCCGCCTCTTCCACTGACTCTCCTTCGACCACCACCGAGGGCACTTCCAGCGCTGCCACCACCCTGGCTACCAAGACCTCTGGCTCGTCTGCCGAGTCCACTGCCGCCTCCAGCTCTGCTGCCGGTGCTTCCAGCTCCGGTGCCTCCCCCAGTGGCTCTGGCTCCAGTGCCTCCTTCCCCAGCGGTTCTAGCGGCTCCGGCTCTGGCTCCGGCTCCAGCTCCGGCTCCCCCTCCGGTTCTGGCTCGTCCACCAGCGCCAGCGCCAGCGCCAGCGCCAGCCCTAGCTTTAACGCTGCTGCCTCTGCTGCTGCCAGCTACTTGGGACCTGTGTCCCTCCTGGGTCTGGTGACCGCCCTTCTCCAGCTGTAAATGTCCCTTTTGAGCGCTTTGACTTTTTGACGTATCATTAATGAAACGCGCCTCGAAAGAGGATACTTGGCTGGACCGGGTATGATAATGGTTCATGGATGCGATTTTACTTTTTTCAGGCTGTACCATTTTTTCTCTTTTCGCTGTCCTTGGTGCTCAATGCCTGCAATCTATTCTTTGGGTTGCCCGGATATGTTGATTGGCATAGTCCGGTAACATGGGCGATTTTATTTGGGCGGACATGATGTATCTATCAGCGTCATACATACCGTTGCTATTGAGCAAACGCAATAATATCAAGTCAATTGACTCCACATATTACATACTTCCAATATCCACCTGGGCATCGTCGCCTACAGTCTAGATCTCTTCACCGCTTATTTCCTGTCGTAGGTCTCGTGGCTTTCCATTCGCATTGTGCTCCTATACTCAAAACCTTATCCTACATGCCTTAAGGTTAAAATTTGCCTCGCATTCATGCCATGCATATTGGTCTTTATTTTCTTGGATTCGAGTTACATATGCAAGTCCACCATCGGCCTCTCCGGACGAGAACACTAAGAATAGGCACCGAGAATTTACATACAATATACAACCAAGGTTCACACCGGAAAATGTATTCGCTGTGTACCATGGATCGAGAAGTTGATTGAATTTGATTGTAATAGGTCTGGGCCTGGATTGGCCGATGATGAATTATACCGAGAGAGATGTTTGTAGTCAGATTGGTTGATCGGGCGACGATTTTATGGCCGAACCATGGATAATCCAAAAAAGGATCGGATCCATCCATACATCCAGGGACATAATTTACACAATTTACTTGGCTTATCGTACGATGTATTCTGTGCGTTTCGACATGAATTGTGAATTTGATTTGTGTGTACGGAGTACATTGTACCCCGTATATTGTAGTACAGTATCCTTCGTAAAAGCAAAATGGAAAAAGGTAAAAAGGTACTGTCGTGGCTCATTATTGCATCTAACTCATCTCATCTTCTCGGATAGAAAAACGCCACAAGTCAAAACAAAAAAGTAACATGGACTCCCCAAATCAGACTGTAACTGCAGCAACACCTTAAAACCCCTTCAAAAGTCAATCAACTCTCGGACCCTCACCAAAATCCGAGCTTTTCCCCCAGCCCCTTGTGGAGACTCAATTCACCAAGTGGACCCAGCCCCAGCCGCACGTCGCACATCCCTTAACTGGCGTGATAGGCGTAACACCGAGTCAGTAACGGGACGATGGTGCGTGGCCGCGACCCGGAGCAAGGCAAGAGTTGCCGCGGGCCGGGGTGTCGGTGTAGATCCAGTGGATGCAGTGGAGGCCACGGCAGACGATGACGACTCCGTCAGCGCAACCGGATTGGCATCTGCATCTTCTGACGATCGTCCCCGGAACAAATATGCCCCGAACGGTCCTAGCGGGAGCGAGTCGAGCACGGAATAGAGCCGGTCGCTGCTGCTGTCGTCAGATGGAGATCGGTATCTGTGCAATGTTGGGTTCCGGCGTTCTTCGCGCGCTACGATCCCGTCCACTGCTTCGAGGTGGTCGTCTAGTGTTGCGAATCGCGTGTTGAGGGAGTCTGCTTTGCTGCGGATCTGCGCGCGCAGTCGGTCTAGGTACTCTTCGCGTCGTCGCATTTGGGTCGCGAGTCGTGTGTCTAGAGCTGCTGTGCCGCTTATTTCGGTTGCTGGCCGTGAGGCGAGTAGGCTCTCGATTGCGGAGCGGAGGTCTGCGCGGAGAGAGTCGAATTCCCATACTGCTGTTTGAATCGCTTGGTTGCTGCCGGTGAATTCAAGGTCCAGAGCGTTGCGAGCGTCTGGGAAGGTTGATTTCAGTTGTGATTCTAGGTCGGCGAGCATGCTTTCGCTTTGTTTGAGGATTGCGGATAGAGGGGTGAAGGTTTCGAGGGCGCTGTCGAATATGGATTCCAGTTGGCGCTGGGAGGTTGCGAGGGTTTCTTCTTGGGGTATTGCGGATGGGTAGGCGCCGCGTGGTGGGTATGTCGCGGAGAGGGTGATGCAGCTGCCGGGATAGAGAGTTTTGATACTTGGGAGGTGGCAGAGGTCTTTGGCTTGGTAGACTACCTCGGGGAGAACCAGAAGGTGCAGGATGATGGCGACCAAGACTGTGTTGATTGCGTTGCGGACAAGGGCAGTATGGGCACCAAAGATGGACTCGGATCTCATCAGGTCTGCTTGTTTGGTGGTCGTCTCTGCAGACGAACCAGCGTCTGCATCTCCAGGTTTAGCGCCGGCCCGGTCCTGCTCTCGCTGCTTTGAACTGTTCGGCATGGAGACTTTCCGTCGTTTTCTCATGCTTTCCGAGCCTGGCTGCTTCGGAGACCGTACGTATTCTACCCATGACCCTTCTAAATTAGGCGTTTCGCAGATAGACGGCATGACGAGCTCTGGGCCTGATATGGTCCATGACGATAACGATGAGGATGCTAGCGACTCTGATGTCGTGCCGGCTGTCTTTGTGGTCGCTTTGCTGCTTTCATGCCGGGAATCTGAAGTTTTGGTGGGGTCTTCCTTTTCCTTCAGAGAAGCAGTGGATGCTATCACCCAGGATTCGCCAAGAGCCGGGCGATCTGGGATACGAGGCTTTTCTGTAGACATGGCGTAAACATCTCAGCAAGACATGCACCTTGTATAATAGTTAATATGTTTTGTAGTTAACATTTCACGACTCGGAGTCAAATGTTTTGAATGCGACTGGCCCAAGCAGACCGTTGCACGCGTAAAGCGGTGGGGGAAGAAAGATCGGAGAAACCGCCGCGGCCAAGGAATTGAGAATCTTCAACCATGCGCTCACTGCTTCGCCTGAGACCGTCCTTAACGCCTGGCGTTAAGTCCCTGCCATGGCAATTTACACGGTCGCGACCGTTGTCATACACTGCGATTCGCCATTGCTCGTGTTCTGACAAACCCGAAGCTCCAACGATACCTCCCACCGATCACCGAGCTCTCGGAACCGCCCAAGAGCTCTTCACATCTTCCGTCTACAGTCCCGGATCTCCTCTATTTCTCCCAAATGGCACACATGTGGTCAATAAACTCATCTCCTTCCTTCGCACCCAGTACCTACAATACGGCTTCCGTGAAGTCTTGACCCCGACCATATACAAAAAGTCGCTCTGGGAGATATCCGGACACTGGCAGAACTACAAGGATGATATGTATGAGGTGACCGGCCGAGGAGCCAGTGGCGAGGCAGATGGCGAAGTAGGTGAAGATGAATCCTATGGACTGAAGCCAATGAACTGTCCCGGCCACTGCCTACTCTTCAAGTCGCAGAATCACTCCTACCGGGACATGCCGGTGCGCTACGCGGATTTCAGTCCGCTGCACCGCAACGAAGTGTCAGGTTCACTGACTGGTCTAACGCGCGTACGTCGTTTCCATCAGGATGATGGTCATATATTCTGTCGCCGGCAGCAGATCAAGTCGGAGATCGCATCGGCGCTAGGCTTTGTGGACATGGCCATGAAGACCTTCGGACTCGGTCCGTATCGATTAGTTTTGTCGACTCGGCCCGAAACAGATTACATTGGAACTTTGGAGATGTGGGACAATGCCGAAATGCAATTGCGCGAGGCTCTGGATAGTACCGGACGCGAATGGGCGCTGAATGAGGGCGATGGTGCGTTTTACGGTCCCAAGATCGACATCCAGCTCCAGGACCAAGCTGGCAAGTACCACCAGCTGTCTACTATTCAATTGGACATGAACCTGCCACAGCGATTTGGGCTGGAGTATCAAGTTGCAGAAAGTGAGCCAGACTACAATCCAGCCACACCCGGAGTTGCAACTCCAGTTATGATTCACCGCGCCATCTTCGGCTCATTGGAGCGGTTTTTGGCGTTGCTGATTGAACAGCACGGTGGCCATTGGCCATTCTGGCTGTCCCCGCGCCAGGCTATTGTCCTGACTGTTAACCAAGACGATGCTGTTGTGCGCCAGGCTCAGGAATCAGCAGCCAAGATCGCTGGTTTCCGCGCATTGCTAAATGATGGTACCGCTGAGCCGCCCCGACCACTGTCCTCTGTCGACTCTACATTCTTGGTTGACGTCGATACCAGCGCACAGACCCTGGGCAAGAAGATTCAGCGCGCCAAACAGATGAAGTATAACCTCATCTTCATTCTCGGATCACGGGACCTGGCCGATGGTGGTATCACTGTTGATGTCACTGGACAGATGCAGAGCAAGACAGATAAAGATGCTCAAACTCTGCAGGCGCTGATCAAAGCCAGACTAGGTAATGATGCGCTACAGAATCCTCGAGCTGTTAAGCTTAGTGTGGACGAGGTGCATCCGCTGTTGGTCGAACTCGAGAAGAACTTTGTGTAACTTTGTACGTTGTATTTTGTATAACCCATGTGCGTTGACATTTTGAGCGTGTTTCTATTTTACTTCCTGCGATTGTATATTAGACCGATATTTTACCGAATTCCAAGTTCTAACCTATGTACATCGTTCAATTTGAAACCAAGCAATGCCTGCGGCTGTGGCCTCACTGCGGCTATTCGCGGAGTAGATGCCCCAGGCATGGAGATCTCCGATGTTTGGGGTCCCCTATGGAATCAGGGACAGTAGATATTCGCCGCAAATGGCTGTAAAATGGAATCAAAGTGAATATAAATGATATAGATTGACATGAGAAATCTGCTAGTAGACATACCAGCCCCATCAGCAAGTCAATTGCAGATTCTCGCGCCCTAACTCGACCAATGTGCATGTCACGTGACTCCGCTGTCGGCGCCGAAAACTCGGCGTCATTGACAGGCTCATTTGAGTCACAGCATATTCCCCATTCTTAATTGGTCTTCTTTTCTTTTTTTGCTATAAAAGAATCCCAGTGTCCATATTTTGAAAGCAAGTTCTTTTTTGCTTTAATCAAATCAATCTTGAGTCTGCTTGGCCTAGCTATAACCATACCCTACCTTTTATCGTCTCTTATCCACTTGCGCCCCCCGCGGTACCCCGCCAAC